GGGCCTGGTGGCTCATGCTTGTAGTCCCAGCACTTGGGGAGGCCGAGGCGGGTGGATCACACAGTCAGGAGTTCGAGACCCGCCTGGCCAATATGGCGAAACCCCGTCTCTACTAAAAATACAAAAAAAATGAGCCGGGTGTGGTGGCGCACGCCTGTAGTCCCAGCTACTCAGGAGGCTGAAGCAGGAGAATCACTTGAACCTGGGAGGTGGAGGTTGCAGTGAGCCGAGATCACACCACTGTGCTCCAGCCTGGGCGACAGAGTGAGACTCCCTCTCAAAAAAAATAGAACAGTATTGTATGACTTTAATATTATAGGAAATTAAAATGTCAGTGTCAGTAAAGTTTCATGGGCACATCCCACACCTGTTTGTGCATTTGTCATGGCTGCAACGTGAAACAGAGCGACTGGGTGGCTGCACAAAATACTGTCAGGCCCCCATCTCGGGAGACTGTGCCTGCCACAGCACGGGGCTGGCTTCAGCTGGGGGCTTTGTCTGAGGACAGATTTCTGTGGCTGACAGGCCACCTTTTGCGGGAGGCACTGAGGCCCCCTCCTATACAGACAGTTCCTGCTCAAGGACCACTGGTTCCCCCAGAGGGACCTTCCGGGCTCTCACTTGGGTTTGCCGCCAGCCAGCAGCAAGGGTCCAGTTCACAGATGGCAGCAGGGCAAGGGCTGTGCGTCGGAGGAGGGATGGGCAGCCCCGCTGAGCCTGGCACCCTGAAAAGCCTCAGGAGACAGGGACGAGGAGTAGCTTAGGGAAGCTGCTGGCAGCACTGCCTCCCTTTGTCCCCCCCACACACCCTGTCCTCCTGAGCGCGGGAGGGCAGCTACCACAGCTGACTTGTCCCCATGGGGCTCCCAGGCTGTTTCATTGAGGACATTCTTCAGAACTGGAGGGACAACTATGACCTCCTTGAGGACAATCACTCCTACATCCAGTGGTGAGTTGGGGAGAATGGGAGGATGGGCGGTGGGGGAGGCTTCGGGGGAGGGGTCCTCCCAGGCAGGAGCCTTCCCCATGCTGCTTCCTGGTGTGACTGAGCACTCCCTGTCCTTCCTGGAAGCTGGTGTCCATATGACACGAATGGACATTACTGGACATGCAAGAGCCACTGAGGGAAGGCTCAGGTCTGTCCCCAGTCTGTGGGCTCTTGGTGACCAGGGGGACAGGAAGGGCTGCACACAAGCTCCCTGAAACAGGAGAGGGGCGGGTCCTGCCTGCCAGAGGGGCAGCCTTGGTGCCAGGAGGCCTCTGTGAGCCTCAAGAGGTGGCCCCCGTGTCCCACTCAGCTGGGGCAGGATCCTGGCATAGTGCTGGGGTGAGCCACGTGGCAGGCGTCTCGGGGATCCACACTGTAACCTCCAAACACAGCAAGCCCTACTCTGGGGACAGCTCTCTGGGCGTCCACAGGGAGCCTCTGCCGGTGTGCGATGTGTCACGAGTGACAGCACAAGAGAGGGAAGACTTCCGTGAGGACTAGAAAGGAAGGCCCTGGTCTGCCCGGGGTGGATGGCCGCAGGGCCCCTTGCTGTCTGAGTCACCTCCCCAGTGCTGCTGAGCATGCAGGCTGTGGCTCATGGCCACACACCTCCTGTCCTGGGCCCTCGCCCGCTCACCTGAGCTCTCCCACCCGAGCTCTCCCACCCTTGCTCCTCTGCCTAGCCACTCCCTCCTAGAGTTGAGCCTGGGGGAGCCCAGAGAGGATGGGAGCTGCCCCAGGCTACACAGCAAGTACATGCCTGAGGGCTGGAAGCAGCTCTCCTAACCCCTTGCCTGGGCATCTCTTCTCCTGCAGGCTGTTTCCTCTGCGAGAACCGGGAGTGAACTGGCATGCCAAGCCCCTCACGCTCAGGGAGGTCGAGGTGAGCCAGGCCTTGGCTGTGGCTGGAGGGGGAGATGGGGAGGCCTGGGCAAGCCACGCCTCTTCAGAGACAGGGTCACATCTGACAGCAGGCATTGAGTGCCCCCTCAGGGGCCCCTTGAAAGGCAGAGGTCCAGTATGATGACCGTCAGTATGATGACCTTCCCTCCCCAGTGGTCCTCGCCCCACCAGGCATCTAGAGAAACCTAATTTCCGAGGCTGTTTGTCCCCATGCGGGAGTCTGGGGCGGAGCCCCTGAGAGACCTGGAATGGCGGGATCTGCCTTTCTCACCACTGGTTTAGGCTGGAGTGGGGTCTCCCAAGTCTGGAAGCTGCCCCTGAAGGATGCAGGGACTTAGAAAGCCAAGGGGCCCCTCCTGGCGCTTTCCCATGGCCAGCGACTTCCTCTCGGGGGAGGGCAGCAGCCTCGGGCCCTGGCAAGAGCTCGGAGCAGCTCAGAGGAGAGATGAAGACATGAATGTGTCTCTCGTCACTTTACCCTAAAAGTCTAAGTTCAGGCCAGGTGCCGTGGCTCACATTTGTAATCCCCACACTGTGGGAGGCTGAGGCGGGTGGATCACCTGAGGTCAGGAGTTTGAGACCAGCCTGACCAACGTGACAAAACCCCGTCTCTACTAAAAATACAAAAAAACGTAGCCGGGCGTGGTGATGGGCACCTGTAATCCCAGCTACTCAGGAGGTTTAAGCAGGAGCCCGGGCCGGGGCCGGGTCTGGCCTGGGAGGCTTCGCTTCTGCACCTGCGGGAGCCCGGGGCTGGCTGGTGGGGCCTCCGCCTGTTACTTTTGTTACCGCCGGACGCCTGTCAACGCCAGGGTTACTTTTGTTGCCAGTGGCTCCCTGAGCCGCGCTGGGAACGCCGCATTGTCACAGCCCGGTCCCGGTCGGGGAGCTGGGATTTATTTGGGAGCGCCCTTCCAGCTGAGCTGCCCGGGTTGTGGGGCCCGGGAAGTATCTGGAACTCCGAGCCATAGGCTCCGCATGGTTTCTCCCCTTGGCACCCAGCACTGTTTGCATTTGCGCCTGGCCATGGTGGAGTGGGCAGTGAGAGAGCACGGAGGGGCTGGGCCCTGTCGCCGGGAGGGCAGCTGCCAGGCAGGCTGGGCAGGGGGGTGGGGTCTGGCACTGTCCCCCAGGACGGCGTGACCCCTGGGTGAGCTCTGACGGGCTCCCCTCACTGGAGTGCCTCAGGCCACTCTCCTGAAGCGGTGCTCAGAGGCCCTGACCATCCTGCCAGGCGCCTGTGACCTTTGACCTCTTCCCTTCTGCCTCCTGCTGTGGCTTCTGTCGCCAAGCCCCTCCCCTTCTCCTTCGGACCCCTCAGGCCTCCTGAGCTGCCTGCGCTGGACCCTGGTGGGGCTGTTTCACTTTCTCCTGGGCAGTGTCATGTGTGCACCTGTGGGCTGACTGTGGCCACGTGCAGTCAGGACCTAGCCTCCAGAACTGACCCAGGGAGGCTCCCGCTGGCCCCAGGAAGAAGTAGAAACTGATGGCTGGGCCGGGGGAGAGAACCACAGGAGCAGGCCCTGTTGAGAAGTCAGGCTGAGAGGCTGGTGGTGGTGGCTCAGGCCTGTAATCCCAGCACTTTCGGAGGCCTAGGTGGTCAGATCACCAGAAGTTAGGAGTCCAAGATTAGCCTGGCCAACATGGTGAAACTCTGTCTCTACTAATAACACAAAATTAACCAGGCGTGGTGATGGGCACCTGTAATCCCGGCTACTCGAGAGGTTTAAGCAGGAGAATCACCGAAACCTGACAGGTGGAGGTTGCAGTGAGTGGAGATTGCATGAAGCTCCCATCTCCAGGGAAAAGAAAAAGAAGGAAATCAGGCAAAGAGGCAATGCCAGGCCCCAGCCGGAGCTCAGCGGGGAGCCAGGGGATACAGTGGCTGACTGGGCCTCCCAGACCCCCTTCTGGCACTCCCCGGGGATCCTGGGTCCCAGCTGTTGCCCTGGACAAGCACACCCATTCCTGCCCTACCCACCGAGTGGGGCTCAGCCCCAGCCCCCCTACCCTCATCACAAGGTCAGGGCTGTGTCCCAGCATCCTCATCACTAGGTACTTCCAGCCCTTTGCTTAGCCTCATGATGCTTGGCCTGCAGAGATGGGGGCTGAAGGGCTTGGGGCATCAAGAGGACCTGACGTCTTGCTGAGAAGCCATCTCCAGACAGGGCTGGAGGCTGGAGACTCAGGGCCTGACCTCACCATGGCCAGTGAGGTGTGGGGTTGGGCAGGGAAGGGGCATTCATTCATCAGACGCTGCCAGAAGCACCTGGGTCCCCTCCTGGGGCTATAGGTGGTGAGGCCACTGCCCCCAAGAACACGGCCTGGTGACTTTAGAGCACAAAGCAGGGGAGGTCTTCAGGGGCACAGAACAGAGGCTAAACCCAGAGTGGGGGGTGGCCAGCAGGCCTAGGAGGAGGAGAGGGTCAGGGCCACACCCCTGGGGAGGTGCACGTCAGCCAGGGGCCATCCTAAGGTGGAAACCAGGAGTCCCAAGGGGGCCTATAGAAGGAGCAGACCCCTGCTTGGCTACTGTAGCCCTCTCTGGTTCTGTGCAGGGTGTTCGGGTACTTTACTGAGCCCCAAATCTGCCCCACTGGGAACCCCTGAAAAAGAACCAGGGCGGGAGAACGAAAGGGAGGAGCCGTGAAACCCCCATCCTTTAAAGACAGGCCCAGGCCCTGCAGCCCTCACCATGGTGGGGGCTCACTTGGGGGTCTCCCATGGGGGTCCTAATCCCATCTCTTCTCTTCCCAGTCCAGGATGACAGGGTCCCGAAACTGGCGAGCCACGAGGGACATGTGTAGGTACCGGCACAACTACCCGGTACGTGCTTGCCCCTGCCCCAGGACACAGAGCCCTCCCACCAGCTGCTCTTCTCAGAATGTCCCGGCTTCTTCTGGAAGGCCGGCCTGGCTTGCTGCACCAGGGCCACAGTTCTGGGCAGGACCCTGCCTGGGGCACAGCCTGGTGTAGATTCAGAGCCCTGCCCATCCCCTCTCGTGGGAGACCACAGGCGTCCCCCTACCTTTCTGAGCACACTGTAGCCTTGCAAATGTGGCCATAGTGCCAGCCATGATGTCACCCACACGGCACCCCACCCCATGCCAATCCTGTCTCCTGCGGGTGGTGGCTGTCCTCAGCAGTTACCTCCACACCCCTGAATCACAGAAACTCCTGTGCTGCCTTCAGGGTGCTGAGGAGGGGACCTGCCAGACCTGCCAGGCCTGGCCTGGCTGGCGAGATGGGGAACGGGGGGTCCCTGCCACTTGGAGACAGCTGCGGTCCTCTGAATGGCCCCCACCTGCAGAGTGAGGAGCCATGCGGACTCCTGGGGTCTTGGGCCAGCCTGGAGGTTTGCAGGTGCTCCTCCCCGAAAGGCACGGAGGGCCCCAGGGCAGCTTGTGTCTGATGGGTCCCTGCTGTCCCCTTTCTCTGGCTCTTCAGGATCTGGTGGAACGAGACTGCAATGGGGACACGCCAAACCTGAGTTTCTACAGAAATGAGATCCGCTTCCTGCCCAACGGTAGGTGCCCCACAACCGCTGGCAGCCGGCACTTCCATCCTTGCCTGGCGGGGGTGGTCCACTGGGGCCTGGTTTGGGATGTCCCCCGGGGATTACCGGGACCACGGCTTTCAAATAGCGCCACAGTGCCCCCTGGAGGCGGCCAGAGGGACTCCAGGTCCGCCAGCCTGGGATCTCTGCAGAGGTGTTTGGGTCAGGGTGGGCTAAGTCTGCAGAGAGCCAGAGCCTGAATATCGGCGGCTTTTCAGGCCACACGGTCTCTGTCAAAACCGCTGAGCGCCTCCACGACCTCATGAAAGCCACACATAAACCAAGGAGCTAAGGATGGTTTTTATATTTTTAAACAGTTGGAAAAAAATTAAAGTAGAGGCCGGGCCTGGTGGCTCATGCTTGTAGTCCCAGCACTTGGGGAGGCCGAGGCGGGTGGATCACACAGTCAGGAGTTCGAGACCCGCCTGGCCAATATGGCGAAACCCCGTCTCTACTAAAAATACAAAAAAAATGAGCCGGGTGTGGTGGCGCGCGCCTGTAGTCCCAGCTACTCAGGAGGCTGAAGCAGGAGAATCACTTGAACCTGGGAGGTGGAGGTTGCAGTGAGCCGAGATCACACCACTGTGCTCCAGCCTGGGCGACAGAGCGAGACTCCCTCTCAAAAAAAATAGAACAGTATTGTATGACTTTAATATTATAGGAAATTAAAATGTCAGTGTCAGTAAAGTTTCATGGGCACATCCCACACCTGTTTGTGCATTTGTCATGGCTGCAACGTGAAACAGAGCGACTGGGTGGCTGCACAAAATACTGTCAGGCCCCCATCTCGGGAGACTGTGCCTGCCACAGCACGGGGCTGGCTTCAGCTGGGGGCTTTGTCTGAGGACAGATTTCTGTGGCTGACAGGCCACCTTTTGCGGGAGGCACTGAGGCCCCCTCCTATACAGACAGTTCCTGCTCAAGGACCACTGGTTCCCCCAGAGGGACCTTCCGGGCTCTCACTTGGGTTTGCCGCCAGCCAGCAGCAAGGGTCCAGTTCACAGATGGCAGCAGGGCAAGGGCTGTGCGTCGGAGGAGGGATGGGCAGCCCCGCTGAGCCTGGCACCCTGAAAAGCCTCAGGAGACAGGGACGAGGAGTAGCTTAGGGAAGCTGCTGGCAGCACTGCCTCCCTTTGTCCCCCCCACACACCCTGTCCTCCTGAGCGCGGGCAGGGCAGCTGCCACAGCTGACTTGTCCCCATGGGGCTCCCAGGCTGTTTCATTGAGGACATTCTTCAGAACTGGAGGGACAACTATGACCTCCTTGAGGACAATCACTCCTACATCCAGTGGTGAGTTGGGGAGAATGGGAGGATGGGCGGTGGGGGAGGCTTCGGGGGAGGGGTCCTCCCAGGCAGGAGCCTTCCCCATGCTGCTTCCTGGTGTGACTGAGCACTCCCTGTCCTTCCTGGAAGCTGGTGTCCATATGACACGAATGGACATTACTGGACATGCAAGAGCCACTGAGGGAAGGCTCAGGTCTGTCCCCAGTCTGTGGGCTCTTGGTGAGCAGGGGGACAGGAAGGGCTGCACACAAGCTCCCTGAAACAGGAGAGGGGCGGGTCCTGCCTGCCAGACGGGCAGCCTTGGTGCCAGGAGGCCTCTGTGAGCCTCAAGAGGTGGCCCCTGTGTCCCACTCAGCTGGGGCAGGATCCTGGCCTAGTGCTGGGGTGAGCCACGTGGCAGGCGTCTCGGGGATCCACAGTGTAGCCTCCAAACACAGCAAGCCCTACTTTGGGGACAGCTCTCTGGGCGTCCACAGGGAGCCTCTGCCGGTGTGCGATGTGTCACGAGTGACAGCACAAGAGAGGGAAGACTTCCGTGAGGACTAGAAAGGAAGGCCCTGGTCTGCCCGGGGTGGATGGCCGCAGGGCCCCTTGCTGTCTGAGTCACCTCCCCAGTGCTGCTGAGCATGCAGGCTGTGGCTCATGGCCACACACCTCCTGTCCTGGGCCCTCGCCCGCTCACCTGAGCTCTCCCACCCGAGCTCTCCCACCCTTGCTCCTCTGCCTAG